CGGCGGCGGCGCCATGGGAGCTCCGTCGTTGCCTGCGGCCTGGCAGCTGTACCTCAAGGACCACCGCCTCTCCACGTTCAAGAACTGGCCCTTCCTGGAGGGCTGCTCCTGCACCCCGGAGCGGGTGAGCCGGCCCGGCCTCCCGTTCTCCCCCCAGGTCCGCCCCGCCGCCCGGCCCGGCCTTCCCGGGGCCCCTCGCGGCTCCGGCCTTCCCGGGGCCCCTCGCGGCTCCGACGGCTCCGGACGCCCCCTCGTCGGGGGCTGCCCGCCCCGCGGTGGCCGCCACTCCCGTTCTAACTGCTGTTTCTTGCAGATGGCCGAGGCCGGCTTCATCCACTGCCCCACCGAGAACGAGCCTGACTTGGCTCAGTGTTTCTTTTGTTTAAAGGAGTTGGAAGGATGGGAGCCCGATGACAACCCCATGTGAGTCCTCCCGGACCAGCCTCGGTGGGGCCGCCTGGGTACCCTGGCTCCCACCGGAAGCCTTTCGTGTGAACTGGGCGTGGGGTTTGAGTTTCTCGGGTGATTCTGCCTAACCTTACCTACACCTTAGCCAGCTGTTGGGGACAGCTTCATTTTCATGCACCTAGCCAGATGTGATTTGAATGTTAAAGGCCCATCCCTAGAGAGTGTTTGGTGCCATTTGAAACTCCAGCAGGATACAGGACCTACTTCTGGCCTGTGGGTTCCCAGGAATCCGCGCGCATGCGTGCTGCGGGTTGAACTCAGGGCCTAGGCACAGTCACTGGGCTGTTTTGCTCAAGAATAGCATTCTACCACTTGAGCCACAGCTCCACTTCCAGCTTTTTTGGTGCTTAATTGGAGATAAGAATCTTATGCACTGGGTGGGTGTCAAACCTTAATCCTCAGATCTCAGCCTTCTGAGTAGTAGGATTACAGGCGTAAGCCACCAGCGCCCAGCTCTGGAACTTTTATTAATTTACTTACTCATTGACTTGTTTTTTTGTGCTGGTACTAGGGCTTGAACTCAAGTTCTTGGACTTCCAGCAATTTCTGCTCAGGGCTAGCACTCTGCCACTTGAGCCACATCTCCAAGCTGGCATTTTTCTAGTTAACTGGAGCCTCTCAGAGTTTTCTGCATGGGCTGCTCCCCTCTCTCCCCCCATCTCCCCCTCTCTTTTTGGTTGTGGGGCTTGAACTCTCTGCGCTGTCCCTAAGCACTTTGAACCATAGCACCACTTCCAGTTTTCTGGTGGTTAATTGCAGGTAAGGTGTCTCACAGACTTTCCTGCCCAGGCTGGCCATGAACTGTGATCCTCATATCTCAGCCTCCTGAGTAGCTAGGATTACAGGCATGAGCCACTGGTGCCTGGCACTGGTTTTTCTTTCTATATTCTTTTCTCAGCTTCTTTTTCCTGCCAAAATCGATTGCTTCCACAGCATTAATTCCCCCTATACACACACACACCAGAGGAATTCCCAAGTTGTTTCTCTTGTCAGAAATGTTGTTTCTCCCCTGTTGTGACCAGGTATTGAATGAGATGGCCAGGTGGTTACACCAGAAATCAGTGGGAAACATCAGTATTGTTTCCAAGCATATGACATTTTTCTACTGTAGTTACGTTGCCTGTTCTTTTGTACCTTGTGTGGCTGCCTTTACTTTCTAGTTCTGAGATGGTTACAGTGATGTCTGCTATCAAGGGCTATTCCTTTTGCAGAGAAGGGGGTAAGAAGGAGAGGAAACCCTCCGGGGACCTGCTAAATTCAGCGTTGCTCTGAGCCAGTGCACAATGGGAGCATCCCTGTGAAGTTATTTCCAATGGTTCCTTAAGGACTTTAGAAGGTTTCAAGTCATAATTCTTCTGTGTTTTGAATCATACAGTACTTTTCTGACTTGCTAAGAGACTCTAGATAGAATAGTCTAGCTGCCAGGTTTGAGGAAGCACATACAGAACAGAGTGTGGGGGCTGTGCCTGGCACCTTAGTCTTCAAGCAGGCAGGATGGGCCCTGAGGTGGCTGAGGGTGATGGGAATGGATCTGGTCATGAGCCCTTGCTGTTTTTTTAATTTTTGGTCGGTCACAGGGCTTGAACTCTGGGCCTGCATGCTGTCCCTGCGCTCTTCAGCGCAAAGCAAGTGCTCTGCCGCTTGAGCCACAGCGCCACTTCTGGTTTTCAAGTGGTTTATTAGCAATAAGAGTCTCACAGATTTTCCTGCCCGGGCTGGCTTTGAACCTCGATCCTCAGATCTCAGCCTCCTGAGTCGCTAGAATGACAGGCATGAGCCACCGGCGCCCGGCTGCCCTTGCTGTTTTGCTGACATATGTGTGTATTGGTTTTTCTAGAGAGGAGCATAAGAAGCATTCATCTGGGTGTGCATTCCTTTCTGTCAAGAAGCAGTTTGAAGAATTAACCCTGGGTGAATTTTTGAAGCTGGACAGAGAAAGAGCCAAGAACAAAATTGTACGTATCCTTGGGATACAAACCCTATCCACTAGAAGGACTCATGCAGAGGACTTGTTCTCAAACCCCCAGGGGGAGGGAGAGGGGGAGGGCGAGGGCGGGTGTATGGGACCAAAGGACAGAGAAACAGCTGTCCTGGCGTGGTCTTGGGTTTGGCTGTAGGAAGACCCAAGCTCTTGGGAAAGTTATTCAGTATGTGTTCCTGGGTTGGTGGAGAAACGGCTGTCATTTGGTCACCCTCCTCTTCCTCAGTGATTTGATGTGACTGTGCTTATGTGGGGGTATTGGAACAGAGAGAGGGTTTGGGGCCATATAGAAGAAGCACCATGTTGGGGAAGGGAAGGAGAAGCAGAGGTCCAGCCAGACCCGGAGGACTTCTGCAGCTCTGCTTTGCCCCTTATCCACTGTGGGTTGGGAGAAGGAAGTAACTCTGAGTCACAGAGGGGTGGCCCCAAGAAGCGTGTGTGAGAAGAAGAGTAGTAATTTGTGAGTGGAAGCATAGTTTACATTTTGTGTGAGCATTTACCAAAACTTAATCATTTGTCTGAAGTTCACATCTAATGGGGCAGCCTCTGTATTTGTAAATGCTAAGACAGCCCGAGGCTCTCTGGGAGGCTGGAGACAGCACATGCCACGGCTCTGATTCAGGTCCTGCTTCCATGCAGATCCTCTCGCTTTTGAAGCAACAAAATAGAAGGAGAGTCAATTGGAATGCAGATGAGCTTAGGGAGTGAGCTTAATGTGAAGACACGCAGAACCTTTTTCCTGAACAGTTTGTGAAACTTGCGAGGAAGATTGCGTGAGACGCCAGAGACGGGCAGGCCTGAGTGTGACTAGCAATTCAGTATTGCCTTCTGTTTTTGTTTTATTTTTTTGTCAGTCGTGGGGCTTGAACTCTGGCTTGGGCGCTGTCCATGCACTCTTCAGCTCAAGGCGAGTGCTCTACCGCTTGAACCACAGCACCACTTCCGGTTTTCTAGTGGTTTATTGGAGCTAAGAATCTCACAGAGTTTCCTGCCTGATCTGCCTTTGAACCGTGATCCTCAGATCTCAGCCTCCTGAGTAGCTAGGATTACAGGCCTGGCTTGCCTTCTGTTTTCTAGACAGTGTCTCACAAGGAAGCCCAGGCTGGCCTTAAATTCATGGTCCTCCTGCCTCGGCCTCCTGAGTGCTGGGTTAATAGGTGTGGGCCTACACCTGCGTGGCCACGATCATCTGTACATATCATTAAAGCCGAGTCCCCTGCAGCTGGGCAGGGTGAGAGCAGCAGCAGCAGCAGCTCAGGGGAGGGAAGAGGGAAGCCTTCTGTGCTTGTTCCATCTTTCCATTCTTAGCAAGCAGTTTAATGACAGGACTCGCTCCCTGTGGCCGTGCGTTCCTCCGGCACAGCGCACTGGCTCTTAGGTACTCGAGGATCCCGTTTTCTGCTCGTACGCTCAGGGTGCTTGTGAATATTTTGATTGCCAATTCCTGGGCAGACCCAAGGCGTCCCACTGCTAAACAAGAGCCCTCCTTCTGAGAGCCCCACTCTGGGCCTGAAAGACTCCTCGTTATTTTCAGGCCAAGGAAGCTAATAGCAAGCTAAAAGAATTTGGAGAAGCTGCGGAGAAAGTCCGCAACGCCATTGAGCAGATGGGTGCCTTGGAGTGAGTCCCTGCCACGCCACCTGACCCCACGCAGAGCGACACGCCATGTCCAGGCCAGGAGAATGGCAGCCTTATGAAACTGGACATTATCTCTTTAGTTTTGCTTTTGCTGGGAAGTGGTGCCAGCGCCTCTGCCCGGAAGCCAGGCTCTTGGCTGCCCTGTCCACTTCCCTTGTGCTCTGTGGCTTTGCTGGGTGCTGAGGAAGAGGGCAGTGTCCTGTGGCTGGAGGCAGGGGGAGGGGTGCCCACAGAAGGAGTTTCTGGTCTTAGCATTTGTTTCCAATACGCCTGTTCTTCTGTGAGCCTGGGTGGTGGGGTTAGCCGCTCACTCACTTGACTTTCTAATGGGAATTTTCCTAAGGAGGGTAACGGAATAAATTAATCTTTAAAAAGTGGCCTGGAAACCCTTTCTCTTTTGAGGAAATTGGTTTATTTTGTTTTTTTAAATAACTTGTTTCTATTTTCTGCTGTTTTACAAGGTCATGAATCTAATGAGTTTTAGCTTCAGCCCCAGCACGGAGTAAGTGGGGCTTGGACAGTCATAAAAAGGCTGCTTGGGACCCCCGCTCTTGGCTTGGAGCCCCCTCCCCCTCATCAGGATGCTTGCCTGTGGCGTGGCCGGGCATCCAGAACCACTGTCTCCTTGTCTGCCCCCACATCCTTGTGCATCTTTTTTCGTCTTTTGATAGGTACGTGGATTTCTCTGCCAAGGTAGGGCATCCAGACAAAGCCTTCATCATTTTTTCCGAATGGCTTTCAGTGTGGTTTTCTTGTTTGCAGTGCTGTTTTTCAGAAGAGTACCAGGTGCTGTGGGAAATAAGTGTAATTTCATCCTAAGCTACTGGGAGTAGTAAGCTAGTGGGGTTTCTTCATGTGGCTCCAGAGAGGTCAGGCAGCAGGAGATATCCAGAGGAGCTTGTTCCCAACCAGCTGCGTGAGCCCTGTGGTTCCTGCCAGAGATGAAGGGTAGAGGCCCAGTTTAGAGCTCAGGCCTAGCTGGCTGCTGTGGCAGTAAAGCCTGTTCAGCTGCTTCTCTAGGCCCAGGCAGCCCTAGCTTCCCTAATAGTTACTTCAGCCCAGCCCAGCCCTCCATGCCCAATGCTGTCTCAGTCAGGGACGCAGGGTTGTGCGCTGAACAATATAGGGATTTTTTTTTTTTTTGTCGGTCCTGGGGCACTGGGCCTGGGCACTCTCCCTCAGCTCTTCAGCTCAAGGCGAGCGAGCACTCTACTACTTCAGCCACAGCCCCACTTCCAGTTTTCTGGTGGTTTTTATTGGAGATAAGAGTCTCATGGGCTTTCCTGCCCTGCCCGGGCTGGCTTTGAACCACAATACTCAGATCTCAGCCTCCTAAATAGTGTTACAGGCGTAAGCCACCTGTGCCCGGCAATACAGGGATTTTTGTTCGCAAGAAAGAAGCACTCCTAGCTCAGCCCTCCCCCAAGCTGCTTGTTTTCCATAAGGATGATCTAATAACTGGTCCTGAGGAATGCTTTGTGGAACCCCTGAAGAGAGTGTTGTTGTGTTCCGTTCCTTCGCTCGTGGTCAGCAATGTCAGTCTCTGCTTCCATCCATCCCGGTGAGTTGCAGCTGGCCATCTGACCACCACACTCCCTCTGTTAGGCAACAATATCTGAGGGCTTAATTGACAGCAGTTAATCAAGCCTTGAGCCAAGGATGGCGGTGCACATGTGTAATCTCAGCAGCAGGAAGGTCAGGCAAGAGGATCATTAATTTGAAACCAGCTTGGCATATGTGTTGAGACCTTGTCTAGGGGAGGAAGGGAAGAAAGGAAGGCCCTAACCTCAGGATGTCTTGTTTTAATTTCAAAGGGGAGAGGGGTGTCAGTGGGCTGTGGCCGGGAAGGCTGATGTGGACTGGTGGTGGATTCTAACAGCTGGTCACAGCCCCACGGGCTAGCCTAGGATTCAGCCTCTGCCATCTCCAGTGACTGGAGGCCATAGGGTGTGGTGAGAAGCGCAGGCCTGGCCTGGCTGGGGTGGGCTGGCACGGAAGTACGGTGCGGGAGCTCCTGTTGCCTGCATGTGGCATCCCAGCTGCTGGCTGTCCTGCAGGTTGTTCCTACTTAGAGAAATCATCAGATCTAAAGTCCAAATGAGAAGAGGACGAGCAGCCGGGCAGCCCCCACAAAGGACTTCCTGTCCCAACTGGACAAAACTGAGCGCCAGCTGTGACACAGGTTTTCTGCCTCTGGGCTCCGCATAACAGGACTTGGTGATTTCAGCCAGGTGGGACCAAATGGCCGTGGCCTCAGGGTTGTTTTTCTCTGACTCCCAAGGTGGTGCTGCCTATGTATCGGAGCACCCACTGAAGCCCCACTGCTGTCCACAGGAACTGGAATTCAGAGCACTGCCTCCTGCAACGCAGCCCACAGGACCTCCTTGTCTGAATGAGCAGTAGCAGTGCCCAGCTAGGTGTTACGGGCAGGAGCACAGAGGAAAGGACAGTTCACTGCCTCAGTGGCAGCCGGCAGAATCTCAGAGCCCTGTCCAAGCCCCAGCAAGATGGCCAGAAGGATGGGGTGGGACGGATGCATGGCAGGAGCGGCGTGTGTGCCAGGCATTACTGGTGCACTCCAGCTGTGTGTGGGGAGGGGCACGGGGCCAAGGGCTTCCACCTGCTTCCCTGTGAACCCTGGCAGGTGGCAGCTTTGCTGGGCAGGCCTGTGAGTTCGCATGGGAATGAGACTTGATTGCTTCCTGGTCCCAGCCGCATCTCAGGATAAAAAAGTTCCCAATCTAGCCGGGCGCTGGTGGCTCACGCCTGTAATCCTAGCTACTCAGGAGGCTGAGATCTGAGGATCACAGTTCAAAGCCAGCCGGGCAAGAAAGACCGTGAGACTCCTATCTCCAATAAACCACCAGAAAACCGGAAGTGGCGCTGTAGCTCAAGTGGTAGAGCGCTCGCCTTGAGCTGAAGAGCTGAGGGACAGCGCCCAGGCCCAGAGTTCAAGCCCCACGACCGACAAAAAAAAAAAAAGTTCCCAATCTAGGACCGCCGCCATTTCAGAAAGCTTTAGAATGTTGGGTTCGACTAGAACGGCGCCTCAAGCCAGCTTCACAATGTACTGAGCAGATGTGTGGTTTATTTTCTGTTGTCGGAGGATGCTGGCCAAGTACGGGGAAATTAGCTGTTGGCTAGCGGCTGCCAAGCTGCTCGGAGGGTAATTAAACCAACAGTTTGAGCTGCTTCCCCAGTTTTGGTTGACAGCGGAGTCATGTCATCAGCCTGAAGCAGGAGGCTCGTCTGCCCGTGCGGGGGCCAGCCGTGCTGTCCTCCAGCCGCTGACAGAGGCTACTTACACAGGGGCTAGTAAGAGGACAGGCTTGGATGCAGCCTTGCTTTTTGTCACTGCAGATTGCAATGTCCCTTAGAAAGGCCACTCCAGCCTCTGATTTCACCAGTGGTCTTCTGAGGCCAGCTTTGAAGAGCTCCTGACAGCCAGGAGACAGGCTTTGTATCCGCCCAGGCCTGGCTGCAAGCTGCTGAGAAGAGGATGGATAATGAAGAGTAACGGGTCATGCTAAAGCAGCGCCTCTTCAGATGGGCTGTGGAGTGATTTGGGTCCATCTCAAGGGAAGTGCACTGCCAGAATGCACCAGAATTCAGCCCAAATCCCTCTGTGACTCTGCACAAGTGGTTTTTGAACACAGCCCAGGCTTGAAGGCAGAGCCGCACCGCCATCTCCCAGCCCTGCAGCACGAAGACAACAGGTGTTCTTTGCTAAGCCTCCCTCAGGTAGCACTGGCCTGGGATGGGCCTGTCACTGACCCTGATACCTGCTTTAGGTGTAGTGAGCGCTGAAGATGTCACACTGGGAAGAAGCAGCTTCTAGCTCCTCAAAAAGTCAACGCACATCTTACGCCCAAGGAGGCTTGCACCCAAATGAAGCAATGTTCATTCTTTTTTTACTGGCCAATATTAGTTGGTTTTTTGTGGGAGGGGGTGGGGGGGTGTTATTGCTTTGATTATTTTCCTTAAGTGCTCTACCACTTGAGCTATGCCTTTAGCTATTTTGCTCAAGGCTGGTGCTCTACTATAAGAGCCATAGCTTCACTTCCAGCTTTTTTGTGGTTAGGTTAATTGGAGGTGAGTCTCAGGGACTTGATGGCCTGGGCTGGTTTTGAACTGTGATCGTCAGATCTCAGCCTCCTGATTACAGATGTGAGCCACTGGTGCCTAGAGAGTGAGATGTAAAACACCCTATGAAATGTCCATGAGAACAAACCAAATGAGAGGTCCCTGCCTGAGTCTCATTTGGAGCTCTGACCCCGATTCAGAGGGGGGTCTGGCAGAGAAAAGCCCCAAGGCTGAGGCCGTGGTGTGTCTGGCCAGTCTGCCCACTGGGCACCCAGAGTACTCGGTGCTTACTTTGCACTTTGCTCTCCAGGGAGCATAGCTACACCCACCCTCACCCCTGATCAACCCCTTCTCCAGAGAGGATTGCCCACCTCTGTGCAACACCACCTCTGAGTCCTGGAGAGGATGGAGTGCCTTCCTGATTCTTATTCTTGGGTGTGGGGGGGGAGGTGGGGTAGAGGATTTTTGCAAAGGGCCCTGGGTCTTGAACGCAGGCAGGGCCTGGGCGCTGTTTCTAAACTTTCTGTGCTCATGGCTAGCACTCTCCCACTTGAGCTGCACAGCTCCACTTCTGGGTTTTGAGTGGTTAACTGGAGATAAGTCTCACTTTCCTGCCCAGGCTGGCTTTAAACTGCAGTCTTCAGATCTCAGCCTCCTGGGTAGCTTGGATTATAGGTATGAGCCACTGGTGCCTGGCTTGGGGGGAGGGTTTTTGAGCCAAGGTGGTGCGTATGCCCCTGGGCCTTTGTCCTGTCCAGTCCTCTGCACGCTTTGACCTTCACCTCTGCAGCAACCTGGGGGAGCCTGAGACTCCCAGAGTCCTGGGGACAGCCTGGGTGGTAGGTGTGGATGCCCCAGAAGGGCTGGAGGGGGTCCCATGACATGGGAGGCCGGTCAGGGTCACACCTGGCTTTCTTCACGGTGGCCTGGATGGAAGGACATGGAAGCCAGAGGGGCTGGGGGCCAGGGGGAGTTCTGTCTGCAGAACAGGGCAGAAGCCCAGCTGGGTTCTGGTTAGCTTAGTTCAGACACAGAGGCTGCTGGCCCAAGGCTCACGTGGTAAGAACCAGAGTGGTGTTGAGCCACACAGACTGGGGCAGCTGTGTAGCTGGAGCTGTGAAGCTGCTCTCGTCCATGCAGGGATCTTAGGCTGAGTTGCAGGATGTGCCAGAGAAGATGGCGAGTCTCCCGCCTCCCAGGTGCCCTCGCTGCGGTGTAGGAGGTTCTGGGGACCCACGGGCTTGGCAGGGTGTGGGCAGGGCACTTGGGGACTTCGGCCTACTGCAGTTTTTACCTCTGCTTCTTCATGTAAATCGACTTGTGAGTCCCGTTAGCCTTTTTCCATTTTCATTTTGTTTTTGAGGAGTGGCAGTACAGGATCTGGCTGTATACAGCCCAGGCTGGCCTGGAACTCATGACGGTCGGGATGACAGACCCATGCCCCACACCTGACGTAGAATTTTCCAAAACAGGCAGCACATACCCATGTCCAAAGTAGCCAAGTGTGTTACCAAATGTGTGTACCTGTCACAGATGCCCTGCGTGCATGTGACTATCCATCATGTGCGTGTGCCCACTCACGCACTCATGTGCTTCACACATGTCCTGTCTGTGGCGTCCATTGATGTCCTCTGCAGACACAAGCCTACCCCTTCACTGGACAGGGGCCGAGTGGTCCTGGGCTTCCAGCCAGGTCTGGATTGTCTCCCGGGAGGAAGGATTCAGGTCTTTCTCCTCTGTCCTCAGCCTAGTGTCTGCCAGGAGGTTCTGGGGTCGCTGGGAAGTTGAGCGGTGGGTTTAATCCCAGATCTGACTGTAGATGGCCTTGGGCTCTGGGCCAGCACTTTGGTGGCTGGTGTGTATGCATGCGTGCGTGTGTGTGTGTGAGAGAGAGATTAGCCACACAGTGACACCTCACCCTCTGTACAGCTCAAGTTTCATCTTAAAGGTTAAAGGGAGGCATGTTGCCGGAAGGAGACAGTGCAGTTCAGGCTTGAGGACAGACATTAGGCTCACCCAGTGCCAGACTGACAGCAAATCTGGGGGAGCACCTCAGCCCACCCCTTGTTCCTGCGGGTACTGTCTAGGAGGCCCCACCCCCACACAGCTCACAGCAGCAGCAAAGCCCTGCTGGTAATGCCAGCTCCCGCCCTCCCGATGCTGCCTCTGGTCACACCCTCAGATGCCACCAGTGTCCCCAGGGGGCACCTCAGCCCAGGCCACAGTTCTCGCACTACAGACTTGCTCCCTTCCCAACTCCCTCAACAGGGCCTTAGGCATCCGAGCGCCAGGCTGCAGAGATGGCTTGGTGCTCTGGCACCTCCGTGCTCTTACGCTGACGTCGCTTTCCCCAGCTTCCCTGGGCCACTGTCACGTACTGCACAGTGCTACTGTCTGGCTATCATGTGCCCTGAAGACCCCTGTGGTTACGCTCCCACCACAACGCACTGCCTCAACACAGGCCCAAAGCAGACTAAAGGCACCCTTGTCTTCATTACTCAGGGAACTGTTGCAGTGATGGGGAGCTGACACACATATGGAATCAGACGCATACATGGACACATCCAGAAAGGAACATACACAAACTGGTGATTATTGGGTGATAGATACAGAGGAGGCACTTTTAATTTTATTCTCTTGGTATTACCAGAAACTAACTGTAGTTTCTTAATCAGTCCACCAGGAGTTTATCTATTACTCTTTTCATGGAATCACCTTTGAGTCTCTAGACAGACATTTTCCTGACTCACCTTCCTCTTCACCAATTCTCTCTTAAGCAGTGTCTCATCAATCAGATCACTGAGTTCTTCATTGTTTTTCAGTTTCAGAATCTCCATGTGAGGGCTGGGAAAGTGGCTCAGTGGTAGAGCGCTTGCCTTGCATGCCTGAGGCCCTGGGTTCGATTCCTCAGCACCACATAAGCTAAAAAGAAAAGCGCTGTGGCTCCAGTGGTAGAGTGCTAGCCTTGAGCTGAAGAGCTGAGGGACGGCGCCCAGGCCCAGAGTTCAGGCCCCACAACCGGACCCCCCCCCCAAAAAAAAAATCTCCATGTGATCCTTATAATTTCAGGGTCTTGATCAAATTTTGATCTTGCCTTGTATTTCCTTAAATACTTTAAAGTCCATGTCTAATAAATCCACAATCATGACCATCTTTGGAACTGTTTCTTTTTTGTTCTTTTTGTGTGTGTCCGTCCTAGGGCTTACACTCAGGGCCTAGGCTGAATTTTCCCTTAAGGAAGGCTAGCACTCTAACATTGAGCCACAGCTCCACTTCAGGTTTTTTGATGGTTAATTTGAGAAAAGAGTCTCATGGACTTTCCTGCCTGGGCTGGCTTTGAACCATGATCCTTAGATCTCAACCTCCTGAGTAGCTAGGATGACAGGCGTGAGCCACCAGCATCCAACCTGGTAACCTCTTGTCCCATCCCCCTTCTGGCTGAATGCAGGGAGGGGTGGGGGGACGGGACATTGCATACACACTCTCCCCAGGAAGCACCAGCTTAGCTTTACCCCTGGCAGGCCACTAGGCCAGGGCCTCCACCCCCACTCTGTCCCAGCCAGGGCACCGGCTTCCTGTCCTGGTCTCAGGACCCCACCTGCCGCAGCACAAACTCCCACTTCCGCAGCGCCAGATCAGTGTCCTGTGTGGAGACGTCACGGTGCCACACGGCCCGCACGGCCCGTTCTGTCCAGGGGAACAGCAGCACGCGCACGGCCTGGCCGGTCTGGGCCACCTCCTCAGCACTCACGTTCTCCAGGCGCTGGCACAGGTCGTCGGGCCGCAGCCCGTCCACTCTCACCAGCACGATGTTCGTCTCCACAGCAGCAGGGTCCACAGAGCAAATGGGCGATGCCAGTTCCTGGAGTCCTGAGCCAGATTCGATGGTGAGCAGAGAGCCCAGCCTCCCCGCCCCCCCCCAGCACCGAGGAGCGTGCCCAGGACGGCAGGGAGGGGGCCACTGTCATGGGAGGAGAGGAGCCTGCGTCCCCACATGGCCTTCGGGGCCACGCAGACTTCAACTCTGCTACTTTACTGTGGGACAAATCAGCTGACCTCTCTGGCCTCAATTTCACCTGTGAAGTGGGGGCATCGTTGGGTAGTGAGGAATCAATTAATGGGTAAAAGAGAGCTATGTTGGAGGTTCTCTGGAGTGTTCTGCAGAGTGCACCAGGGGCTGGGGAGGGGAGCAGACCTCTCCCCTCTCCCCCCCCCCCCGCCCCGAGGTTCAGCAGCTAACCCTCAGCATCCCAGAGCCATGCAGGGCCCAAGTGGAAAGAAGCAAAGGGGTGGGGAGGGGCAGGGCAGGCACCTTGGGCGAACCTCTGGGCGTTGCTATGGTCCCTCCGCAGTACCTCCTCCACGCCGGCCAGGCCCGCCAGGGCGGCCGCAGCCAGCACCCCGGTCTGGTGCATGCCCCCGCCCAGGGTCTTCCGGAGTCGCCAGGCTTCTTCAATGAAGTCCTTGGGCCCCCCCAGCACAGCCCCCACAGGTGCGCCCAGGCCCTGGGGAAAGAGGAGAGGCTCCCGGCATCCATCTGTGCACGCCTGTCCTCTGGCTGGGGGAGGCAGACGCAGCCCGGGGCCGGCTGCAGGGCCAGCGGCTCTGGGCCCAGCTCGGCCTTCCGTGGCGCTGCCACCCCTGCCTGTGCCAGGCCAGCCGGGAGCTTCCTTACCTTGGAGAAGCAGAAGGACACAGAGTCGCAGTGCTCCACGATGCAGGCAGGGGGCACACGCAGGGCCACGGCTGCGTTCATCAGCCGGGCGCCATCCAAGTGGACCCGGGCCCCATGCGTCCGGGCCAGGCGGTGCACCTGGGGACAAGAGGCAGGCAGAGGTCACAGGGGCCAGGCTGGAGGGAGGCTCCTGGGCGTGGCTCCTCGAAGGACGAGAGGTCTGGTGTCAGCAGCCTGGCTGGTTCTGGATATGCATACTGTGCTAAGCAAGCCTTGGCTCTGCTGTGGCGAAGAGGCTGATGGCAACCATACTAACACACAACCGTGTGTGTGTGTGTGTGTGTGTGTGTGTGTGTGTGTGTGTGTGTGTGTGTAGCCGGCGCCGTCATGTCATGCTAGCAGGTGCTCTACCACTGAGCAACAGCCCCCTCACTTCCTTATTGAGCACCGCCACGCAGCAACACTGCGGGCCCAGGGTAAATGCTTCGTGTTCTTTCAGCTGCATGGTGGCTCCGTGAGGGGCCCCTGCTCCTGCAGAGCTGAGGGGAACGAGGTCTGGAGCCCAGGCTTAGGCTGAGCTCTCACTCAGCACAGTGGCCTCTCACCGTGCATATGAGGGTTGAGAACCAGCGGAGCTGGAGCTGAGCCACTCACTCAGCACGCGCTCTTCCCCAGCCTTGCCTGAGACCAGGCCAGTGCCCAGTGCTGACTCTGAGCAAGGAGGGTGTGTACACAGGACACCAGTTCCGGGGCTGGAGGGGGCTGCAGCCCGGCTCTGGGGTGGCCATCTCCCTTGTCATCATTGTGTTAGGGCCTCATAGCCTGCCATGACAGGGTAGCCACAGAGGGCCCCTGGCATACGTCAGAAGCCTGAGTCCAGGAAGCGGGTAGTTCAGGGGCTGGTGGAGGGGGTGCGGCGGCGGGCCTACCTGGCGGAGGTGGTCGATGGGGAGGACCCGGCCCCCTGCGCTGTTGTGCGTGTTCTCCAGGCACACGAGCTCACAGACGGGGTGGTATGGGCTCCCCAGGCCACGGGTGATGGCCCGCTCCAGCTCGTCCAGGTCCAGGGTGCCATGGGGCAGGTCGGGGAGGGGGTGGGAATGCACCCCGGCAATCTGCGGGTGGGGGGGGCACAGGGCCAGGTAGGTGCTGGGGGTCCAGCAGCATGCCCTGGCGGCAAGGGGAGGAACCAGATTCCCCGATCCCCAGCCGGCCCCTCCTCAGCTCTGGGCCTGGGGCCTTTCCCTGAGCTGGTGCACAGCGGCATCTCCTCTAGGATGGGCAGGAGCGGGTCCTTGCTGGTGTTCGGCTCAGAGGCCTGGCTTCCTTCTGAGTGCCAATGTTGCAAGTGCCCATTAGGGGGCAGCAAGACACCAAGAAGTCGGCCAACCGATGTTGGGGGGGGACGCCCCCCCCCAGAGGCTGCCCAACACTGCCCCCATGTGGCAAAGCCACCTCCCCTGCCAGATTCTCTGTGCGCTCTCTCTCCCTCTGTAGGTTCCAGCTGGGGGGGTGGGGGGGTCAGTACTCCCTTCTGCTTGAGGCTGGCTGGCTGGAAGATGCCCAGGGCCCCAGCAGAGCTAGGCCTCGTCCTTACCTGAGCCACTAGGCCCTGCTCATAGACGTGGAGGTGGCTTTCCTGCCCAAGGAGGAGCTGGGAGCCCCGGCGCCGGCAGTGACCCATCACTGAGACAGATGGGAGGAGGGAGGACTTGGCACTGAGTTCAGGGGGGCCTCTGCCCCTGCTCAGCTTGCCAGGCTGAGCCAGAGAGCCTACCAGTATCTACGCCAATTAGAAAATGGTACCCATTCCTGCTATGTGACAGAAATCGGTCGCGCGAAACCCACAATGGTGGGACATGTACGCCGGGAATGCTGGGCCACACAGCCTGTACCCTAGGACCCTGCAGGCCCCAGCACAGGGTCCCCCATGGAAGGGCCACAGGGCTGCCCCCACAGTGCCAGCCACTGGCAGGCCTGGCGGGAGGAACCCGGTGAGGGTGTTTAATGAAGCACAGTGTAGAGGAGGAGCAGGCAGGGGCAAGTCTCAGGACTGCTCCAGTGGTGAGATGTACAGGGAGCCCAGAGCCAAGGCCCTGGGAGGAAGAGGAGATTCTTGCTGATCTCACTTTCCTTGGCCCAATCTTGCAGGACACCTACGATCACACTCAACAGAGGAGAGGGGAGTGCCCACTGAGGCCCTGGGGGCAGGGGGGCAAACTCACCAGAGATGAGGTTGGCCATGGTGTTCGTGGGCACAAACAGAGTCCGCTCCACCCCAAGCAGCTCTGCAGTCTTTTCCTGCAGCTCTGAGGAGGAGGAGGTGGGGCAGGAAAGGCTTTATCAACAAATGCACTCAAGAGCCTCTGCGTGCCAGCCTTACACAGGGCACAAAGTTCATTTGTTCAATGGCAGCCCCTTGCCCTGGGACTCTGCTGAGAAGCCTAGAAGTCCGGGGGGGGGGGGGGGGGGAGGGGAGCGGGAGGCTGGAGCCTGTCTGTGGTCAGGGTGATGGCAGGTCCAAGCCCGGAGGCCCCTTGGTCAACTCTGAGCCCACCTCCCAGACCACGTCCACCCCCAGGCCACCAAACTTCTCTTGTGGTTTGAATCTCCTGTCCTGCCTGGACCTCACACCTATTTTACTTCCTTTCCCAGCAGCCCCAGTGCTGAGGCCCTGGACGGTGGGTGGGACTCCTGCTTTAGGTCCACAGTGTCTCCTATTTGTGTGGCACTGAATGGAAAGTCCTGATGTAACATTCAAGGCTGACATGATCTGGCCTCTGTCACCCACGACAGAGGGGCCCTTCTGAACCCAACACTCCAGCCATGCTCGCCACTGCTGTCCTGAAGCCTTATGCTTCTGGAGCTGCCCTGCTAGGTGACTCCACATTCTCCCTGTCCCCTCCTCCCCCCACACTCATCCTTAGGTGGGGAGTTCCTCTGAGAGGTCCCCCTCCCCAGTTCCCTAGGTCTCAACAAACCCTCTGCAGACTCCAGTCCACACAGGTACAATTCCTTGTCCCACATGCCGCCTGGTACCCATCAGATGCCTGCTGAGCAGAGGCTCTGTGTCTCTGAGGTTCATCACTCAATGCACAGCCTTAATCTACCCTGGCCCTGGGCACTTTGGTGGTCCCACGACTAGTCTCTGCCCCACAGGAGGGCCGCGCAGCCTCAGCAGTACCGGTGGTTCCCTACAGCACTGGCTCAAACTGTGGTAAGCTGTGGGTCCCCATCTCTTTAAATCGTCTCTAGAATACCAGAACCCACTCTTGGGGAGCCCCGCTTCTAGATGGTTCTAATTCTTATTACTTTCATCTTCCTGGTGGAGAGCAGAGGGTAGTTACAGGTTTTGGAGTTAGAAGATCTGGGTACCAACCCTGTTTTTTCTGCCATCTACTGGTGTAGGGGACTGGCCGGCATCCCGGACCTCGGGGTGGCTGGGCGAGGCTGCCCGGGGACCCGGGGTGATCCTGTTAACACGCGGGTTCTGGCTCAGCCGGCCCAGGGTGGGACCCGAAACTCCGCGTTTACAACGGGTCAGAGGGGCAGCAAACGCGCGGTCAGCACAGCCAGCTCGGCCGCTGGGCCCGGCCCGGCCCGGTCATGCTAGCAGGTGCTCTACCACTGAGCAACAGCCTGGCCCGGACACCGGCCGCCCCGGCCCGGCCCGGACACCGCCCCGCCCGGCCGCAGGGCCCGGCCCAGACGCCACACCGCCCGCCCCGGCCGCAGGGCCCGGCCCGGCCCGGCCACCGCCCGCCCCGGCCGCAGGGCCCGGCCCGCCCCGGCCCGGACACCGCCCCGCCCAGCCGCCCTCCCGCCAGCACCACGGACAGCGCCCGGGGGTCGCCGCGCCGGGGCCCGCGCGGCCCGCTCGCCGGGCTCACCGCGGACGGAGGGGTCCTCGCCGTAGTCGTCGTCCCCCACGGCCGCCTCGGCCATGGCGCGCCTCATGGCGGGCCCGGGCCTGGTCACCGTGTCGCTGCGCAGGTCCACCACGCGGGCCGGGACCCCCGCCCGGCTCCCGGACCCCCGCGCCCAGCACGCCCGGAGGACCACGGCCCGGCCCGGCCCGCGGAACATGGCGGAGGACCGGCGGAGCCTGCTTCCCGCGAGCGCGGCTCGGAGCGCGCGGTCCTCGCAGCCACCCTTCCCCGACTCGGGGTCTCCAGCAGGACCTGGGCGGGGCGCGGCCCGGGGCACACTGGGAACTGTAGTCCGCGCTGGGTCGCTTGGGCGGGTCAGTGTGGCATGCTAGGAGTTGTAGTCCAAGACCTGTCACTTGAGAGTCCCGGCGGGCAGCACAGCATGCTGGGAGATGTAGTCCACACTGAAGGGGAAACTGGGACCCACCAAGCTTTTATGGAGCAAACAGATATGACAAATTTAGTCCAGTTAAGCAAAGAGTCCAGCGTTAATAAATGTTGCTAAGGTCACTTGAGTAGAAATTGGGCCGCAGTCAGCTGCCTCAACAGGGAGTCCAACTCCGAACCATGGTGCTATGTTGCCCTTAAAGGGGCATATGATGAACGTATCTGTTCATCAGTTACTTTTTCCTAATATAGTTTCAACTGAACATCTATTGTTTCCAGGCAGTCTTGTTAGGTGCCAGGCTTGGGAGGGGGCGGGAGGACACAAGGGTAGCTGCAGCTGGGACCAACTATACAGCCGTAGAGGACATAATGGGGACAAAAAAAAAAAAAAAGAGATGCCTAGAGAGCCCTTGGCGTGGTGGGGACGTTGGTGGAGGCCCGCCTGCTGCCTTGATGCCTTCAAAGTTCAAATCTTCCACTTAGGCCTGGCGGGGGAGCTCAGTTCATAGAGCGCTTGCTTAGCATGTGTGACCCTGGGTTTGGTTCCCAGTGCCATTAAAAAAAAAAAAAGACATTAAAAAGTATCTGCCCTACTCCTGTGTGGCCCTAAGACAAGTCATGCCTCCGTTTCTTCCACTGAAAAAAATGCGCTGTGGTGAGGACAAGAAACGGTATGGGTTTAGTGCTGATTCCAGTACCTGCTGCTTGCTGGTCAGGTCTTTGCATGTCTGTGAGGTGTTTCTGTCATTGTTGATATGGGTTACAGCTGGGGGCTCCAAGACCCTCAGATCAGATGCTGGCTGTACCTCCCCTGTATCAGCCGACCCACCCGTCCAGGTTGCCAGGATGGAGGAGTACCAGTCAGGAGAGGCTGTGGCTGCCTAAGAGGGTGATCATTGAAGCAAGGCACCGTGCTGATCAGCCAAACCCAGAGGGAGAGCGTCTAGAGCAGGGGACAGAGTGGGTGGCAGCTTAGCTAGGCAGCTGTGGTTGAGGCTGAGGCCTTGAAGGGACTCCAGTGTGGCTGGGAAAGAGATTTGCACAGTGATGGAGCTCAAACTCCACCCCAGGGCCAGGGCCAGCTCGCATGCCTTTCCCTCCCCCCCTTGCACCTGGCAGGCCCATCCAGACACAAGGACGATCACAAGTCCCTATAGGTCTGTGGTCCCCAAGGACCCCCCTTCTGATGGAAAGGTTTATTGACCTCCCCAAAAGCAGGGCCTCTGGCCCTGACCCCTAAGTGCCACCAAATTCCTGAATCCCCAGTCCTTAGAAAACAAGTCCCTTATCTCATTGTCTGGCTCCAGCCCTGCTGCTGGGAAGTGGGGGGCGGGAGAGGGGGGGAGAGGAGTGGAGGCTCTGGGAAGGAAGGGAGATGAATAGGCTGGGAGCCTCCAGGAACTCACAGGGGAGCAGAGGGCAGGGGGGACAAAAGAGCAGATCCTGGGCACCTCCCAGTCATGGCAGAACCACAGAATGCCGCCCCACCACCACCACTTCCCAGGTTTCCAGGCTCTTCCCAGTTGGCAGGGACCCAGGGCAATGGGAGAGGTTAGAGTCTAGGAACCCCCAACCAGGCCACATTGCTCACCCATCATCCACTAGGCCTTTGTCCTTCCAAAGCAGACCTGTCTCCCCAGAGAGGTAGTCTCTCCCTGGGGGCAGTGGGCACAGACAGTGTCCATCAGATGGATCCCCTTGCCCGGTCCCCACAGCACTTGTGCCAGCCCTGCCCTAGCTTGGCATGGACTGGCAGCAGGGAGGGGGTAGGAGCAAGGGGGCTGGTTGAAAGAAGGTGGTACCTGTGAGCGTAGTGAGGTGTGTCTGGAGGAAGCCAACCAAGACCCAGCCTCTGGGAGGTTGTCTGGACCCCCTGTGTATGTATATGCATATCTGCGCGTATGTATATCTGATTGAAGCTGTGTGTACACACAAGCACGAAGTATAGATTACATCCACTGCCCAGATGTGTTTGAGTGGGTGGCTACGTATATAGGTATGAGATATGTCACATGTGTGCTCATATATGTGTGTGTATTACACCATCTGTGTGATCACATGTATAGGCTGGTATTATGTGTGTACCATGTGTTGTGTATGTTCCCAGCTATGCTGAAATCAAAGTCATGCTGGTGGCAGCTGGGGACAAGCCGGAGCTCCTGGGCTGGGGTGAGAATCCTTCCATGGAGCCAGCCCCGCCCTGATCCCAGAGCTGACCTGTCCCTGCCTTCTCCACTGAGGGGGTGTGAGGTGCTACACCTCCTGCCTGCCTCTTGGTTTGTTTTGTCGGTCGTGGGGCCTGAACTCTGGGCCTGGCGCTGTTCCTCAGCTCTTCAGCTCAAGGCGAGTGCTCTACCACTTGAGCCACAGCGCCACTTCCAGTTTTCTGGTGGTTTATTGGAGATAAGAGTCTCATGGAGCCGGGCGCTGGTGGCTCACGCCTGTAATCCTAGCTACTCAGAAGGCTGAGATCTGAGGATCGCGGTTCAAAGCCAGCCCAGGCAGGAGAGACCATGAGACTCCTATCTGCAATAAACCACCAGAAAACCGGAAGTGGCGCTGTAGCTCAAGTGGTAGAATGCTCGCCTTGAGCTGAAGAGCTGAGGGACAGCACCCAGGCCCAGAGTTCAAGCCCCACGACCAACAACAACAACAAAAAAGAGTCTCATGGACTTTCCTGCCTGGGCTGGCTTTGAACCTTGATTCTCAGATCTCTGCCTTCTGAGTAGTAGCTAGGACGACAGGCGTGAGCCACCAGCACATTCTGGTTTTTTCATCATAGCTGGCGTTCTGACCTGGCTCTTTGGGCTCCTGCCTGGCTTGGCTGGTTCCTGACCTCTGGAGCCGCCCTGCTTACAACAGTCCACTGTACTGGCCACTGCCTCAGCCCTTGATGCTCTGGCCACCCTGGCTGGGTCTCTCCATACAGTTTCTGCCTCATTCATTTCTTGGGTCCAGTCCTTCTGCCTGGCTCCCAGCACCTGGCCCAGGGCTCATAAATACCTCCTGAATGGCCTAGCACATTCCAAGAAGGCCCCATGGTGCACCATGCTATGATCTCAAGTCTCCTCAGCAGCACGATGGAGGACAGGTGTTGGCCCTGCGTCGGAGGACATTCTGGGGTCCTCAGGCTGGCCCCCCCTCTGCCCTCTTTAACTTGGCGAGCCCTGGGCAGTGGGGAGGGACTGTGCAGGCTGGAGTCTCAGGATAGGAGCGTGAGTGGGTTGTTTCGCTCTCGCTGGCTCCCTGGCACCTGCCCAGGCAGGTGTGGGTTCTGGGCCGTGGGTACACACACACTCGCGTGCTGGGTGAGTTCAGCATGCGCATTCCTGTAAGGTCGGGCTGCTGGCAGGAAGTGAGTAGCGGGTAGCAGTTGCTGGAAACCCGCGCTGGCCCTGCCAGAGAAAGGGACTCAGCAGATCGCAGCTGCAGATAGCGGTGGGTCTCAGTAAACACGTGTGTGCAGTGGGGGGGGGGGGGGGGGGGGGTCTTTCCCATCCCATCCGCTGGCCTGAGCCCTGGGCGTCAGGAGACAGCCATGCGTACCATTGTGGTCATTCCTGGCCTGGCCTGTCACAGCAGTAAAAGGGAAGGGGCAGGGCCTGGGGGCCGGGCTCGGCATGGCAGTGGACGTGCACAGACCCAGGTGGGAATCATCACCAACTCAAGGCCACTCCTCTGACGGCACAGCAAAGGGTTCGCCCTGAAACAGCTCGTGAAACCCCGAGTGGGTGTCCCAGGGGAGAAGGGGAGAGAATGGGGGAGGGGAGTGTGAAGGCCAATGGGCCACACTCCCTGGGGCAGGTGAGGAGCAGGGGGCTGGGCTGACCGGCCACAGTGCGCTTCCAGTGCGCTTCCAGTTCCGGGGGCTGCAGAGGCTGCCCTGCTGAAAGCACCCATCTACATGGTGGTGGCTCACGGTGGACGTCCTGGGACTGGACAGGGGGAGAGCTGTGCATGGCTGGATCCCAAGCCATTTTCTTTTTGTTGCAGTGCTGGGGAATGGAACCTAAGGCTTTAGGGATGCTGAGCAAGTTCTGTACAGCTGAGCTATGTCCCCAGCCCTGGGCTTACTTGCTTTTTTTTTTTTTTTTGGTCGGTTGTGGGACTTGAACTCTAGGCCTGGGCGCTGTCCCTCAGCTCTTCAGCTCAAGGAGAGTGCTCTACCACTTGAGCCACAGTGCTAAACAGTGGTTTATTGGAGATAAGAGTCTCACAGACTTTCCTGCCCGGGCTGGCTTTGAACTGTGATCCTCGGATCTCAGCCTCCTGAGTATCTAGGATGACAGGCGTGAGCCAGCAGCACCTGGCTCCTCCACTCTTTCATCCTGAGATTTTAGTTCCTGCCTCCAGCAGGCATGAAATATCATTTCCAACCACCAGGCCTTTCTTACATTTGGATTTTTCTTTGATCCAGAGCCTGTCTGTGTCTTTTCTTGTTGACCAACCAGACTGAAGGCTTTTATTTTATTTTTGTGCAGTACTAGGGCTTGAACTCAGGGACTGGGTGCTGTCCCTTAGCTTTTTTTTTTTTTTTCTCAAGGCTAATGCTCTACCACTTGAGCCACAGCTCTACTTCTGGCTTTTTGCTGATTCACTGGAAGTAAGAGGCTCATGAGATTTTTCTTCCCTGGACTGGCTTCAAACTGTGATCCTCAGATCTCAGCCTCCAGAGTCGCTAGGATGATGGGCGTGAGCCACAGGTGGCCGGCTGGCTCTGAAATTTGTTTATATGTGCGTCCTGGAATCAGAGCCCCCTCGGCCTGTGATGTGTCTTTTCACTTGTCCAGTCTTATGA